ATTTTCATCTTGATGGCTTGGTTAATCGACAAAATTGTCACATTTGGGGTTCAGAAAATCCATGAGTGATTGTTGAGAAACAAATGTATCCACAATGTGTCACTGTTTGGTGCAGATTTTGGGCTGGAGGCATCATTGGACCATTCTTCTTCAAAAATGCGGCTGCTTAGGCAATAACAAAAGAGTGTGTATGTGCCAGCAAAGCCGTGGGGGCCATTTACCTGATATGCGATTCCATACATAACCCTATACTGTATACTTTATGAATCAATTAGAAATTTACAGTTTTTAATTATAAACCTGTGTTTTCTATCAAAATTACTTCTTGGGTGAATTTTGGGACACCCTTTACATGTTTGCAAAGTAACTACAAATTAAAGGTTATCTCCGAACTTTGATAACGAGACACAGAAGATTGAATACAGACAGATGGTTTCTCCTGGATTCTTCCAGAGTCATGAAGGAAGAAAATTTCGCATTCCCTTGCGGGTCTGAAATATTTCTCTCATGCAAACGCTACACTGTACAATAAGGTAAATCCTTTCGGAAAAGGATTTCCCACATTCCCTGCAGCCCTAAGACCATTCTATTGAGTGAACTGACAGGGACGGAAAGACTGGCAAGCTACGGGTAAACGATTTTTCACATTTGCTGCAACATACAGCCTTCAACCTACGTGAACTCTCAGATAAAAACAAACACCATAGATACAGCTAAAACATTTCATACGTCCACTACACTCATGAGACCTTTCACCAACATTAAGTCTCAGGTGCTAAGAAAGGGAAGATTTACGGCTAAAGGATTTAGCATATTTTTGCAATCAAACACCTTTCTCCCATGTGAACTATCCACTGTTAATTGGACTAGAAAATATTTTTAAAAGATTTCCCAGAGGGGAAAAAGAAGATCGCCCATATTCTCTACAATCCTGAGGCCTTTGTGTGAATGCGCTGGTGTTCAACAAGATGATGTCTTCGAATAAAGGATTTCCCACATTCAACGCACACATAAGGCCTTTCTCCTGTGTGAGTTCTTTGATGTCGAATGAGCGCTGAGCTACAGGGAAAAGACTTCCCGCATTCACTGCACTCAAAAGGCTTTAATCCGGTGTGAACGCTCTGATGATAACGGAGGCCTGTTCCAGTCGAAAAGGATTTCTCACATTCTCTACACTGATAAGGCTTTTCTCCAGTGTGAACTCTCCAGTGTTCAATGAGGTAAGAATTTGTCCTAAAGGATTTCCCACATTCAGTACACTCATAAGGCCTTTTGCTTGTGTGAACTCTCTGATGTTTATGGAGGGCGTAATTGGTGGTAAAAGATGACCCACATACACTGCACTCATAAGGCCTTTCTCCTGTGTGAATTCTCAGGTGTGTAAGAAAGTAACATTTTTGGATGAAGGATTTGCCACATTCACTGCACTCGTAAGGCCTTTCTCCGGTATGAATTCTCTGATGATTTCTGAGGTTAAAACCGGAAGCAAAAAACTCCCCACATTCCTTGCACTGGTGTGGCCTTTCTCCGGTGTGAACTCTCTGGTGTGTCATAAGGTGATGCCTTTGGATAAAAGACTTCCCGCATTCTCTGCACTCATAAGGTCTTTCTCCGCTGTGCACTCTCTGATGGTTACTAAGCTTGGAACCAGCTGAAAACGATTTCCCACACTCGCTGCACTGATGAGGCTTTACTCCAGTGTGAACTATTTGGTGTATATGAAGGTGTAGACTGAGCATAAAAGATTTTCCACATTCACGGCACTGATGAGGTCTTTCTTTTCTGTGGACTCTCTGATGATGATTGAGGATGAAAACAGATGTAAAAGCTTTCCCACACTCCCTACATTCATAAGACTGTCTTCCACTGTGAATTACCTGGTGTCGACTGAGGTAAGACTGTTGGCTAAAGGATTTCCAACATTCACTGCACTCATAAGGCCTTTTTCCTGTGTGCACTCTCTGGTGCAGAATGAGTATGGAACTACCGGGAAAGGTTCTCCTGCATTTACTGCACCAAAAAGGCCTTTCTCCTGTGTGCACTCTCCGGTGTAGAGTAAGGACTGATCTCCTGGTGAAAGATCTCCCACACTCACGGCATTCATGGGGCCTTTCTCCAGTGTGAACTCTCCAATGCAGAATGAGGTAAAATTTTCTTCTAAAGGACTCCCCACATTGCGTGCACTCGTAACGCCTTTCTCCAGAGTGAACTGTCCGTTGTCGAATGAGGATGCATCTCCGGCTAAAAGATGGCGCACATTCACGGCACAAGTCACATTTTTCCCCAGTGTGACTTCTCCAGGGATAAATGAGCACAGATTTTGGGTGAAAGGACTTCCCACAATTGCTGCACTTGTACTGCCTTGGGCCACCACGAAATCTTCGATGCTGATTGAATTTATCGCTCTTCACAAGCAGGGCCCTGTCCACACAGCTTCCGAAGGGCTTCTTTGCCAGGTGCTGCTTCTGGTGAATTTGGAAGTTTGCACCCAAATAAAATTGTTTCCTACCTACCCCACACCTGACCACGTTCTGGCTGTGTGGTGTTCCTTGGTGCTCAGCCAACTGGAATATGTCTCTCAAGACGGGACCACAGCTCTCACAGAAGTGGGTCTTCAGGGAAGACACAGCCGCCTTGGAGGGGCTGGATGGTGACACTCCTACAGAAACACTCTGTTCACAGGGAGTGTCTGCATCCTCTGATCCACAGCAGGGACCTGGACACAAATAAATAGCTGGTGAAGTACAGGTTGACTATAAGAATAGCACCATGCAGGGGTGTGGGAGCAGCCGGGGAGAGGGTCAAAAGCGGGGGGGAAAGGAGACATATGTGATACTTTAAACAATAAAGAATTGAAATTGGAAAAAAAAATAAGATGATGCTATCATAAGTTTGTATCTGTCAGATCTAGGAATTAGTCTATATGATGCTTTCCAATGAAGGGAATCAAAATCTGTTTGGGAATTTGGCTACGGTATGACTGTAGCTTTTTTTTTATGTAATATATTTTATTGATTTTTTACAGGGAGGAGGGGAGAGGGATAGAGAGTTAGAAACATCGATGAGAGAGAAACATGGATCAGCTGCCTCCTGCACATTCCCTACTGGGGATGTGCCCGCAACCAAGGCACATGCCCTGATGTTCTATCCTCTGAGCCAAACCGGTTAGGGTGACTATAGCTTTAAGGTAAAAGAATGGTGGCGTCCTCACCAGAGGCAGATCATCACAGGTGTAACGCAAACAAGGGAGGGTTATTGTCAAACGTGTTCCTCTGCTGGAATGTTCCTGTAAAACCTCTACTTTTGCTGACACGAGGCCGCGTAGAAGCACGCTGGCTTTTCCTACACCCAGGAAAGACGGATTGCCACAGAGCAATAGTGTTTCAAGGCCAACGTAAGGATGCGTGCTTGTGTCATGGCACATGTGGAGCAATATTGCAGAGCAATAGAGGAAGAAAGGAGAGAAATGTGTGAGATACGAAGTCCCGAGAGGTGGAGATTCTCCAGGGGCAGGGGTCTGAGTAACAACGTAGTAGCATTAACCACCCAGCAACATAGCAACAGCGGGGAAGGGAAAGTAGAAATGGGGTTTGGTACGGGCAAGGACACCAAAATACAGGGTACATATAAAATGTTCCTGGGCCCTGACCGGTGTGGTTCAGTGGCTAGAGTGTCGGCCTGTGGACTGAAGGGTCCCAGGTTCGATTCCGGTCAAGGGCATGTACCTTGGTTGCGGGTACATCCCCAGTAGGGGGTGTGCGGGAGGCAGCTGGTCGATGTTTCTCTCTCATGGATGTTTCTAACTCTCTATCCTTCTCCCTTCCTGTCAGTAAAAAAATCAATAGAATATATTACAAAAAAAAAAAAAATGGAGACATACCCCCTGGTCAGTTTTGTTCAGAGGACAGAGCATCGGCCTGTAGACTGAAGGGTCCTGGGTTTAATTCTGGTCGAGGGCACAAGCCCAAATGGGGACTTGATCCCCAATAGAAGGAGTTTGGGAGGCAGCCAATCAATGATTCTCTTGCATCATTGCGGTTTCTTTCTTTCTTTTTTTTTAAACATATTTTTATTGATTTTAGAGAGGA